CATGATGGGTCAGTTATAAACTCCAAGGAAGTGTTTCCCAAGGCTGTTGTAAGAAGTGGATGCAATGTGACATCCAGACAATTAGCTGGTCAAACACATGGTATGGCAACAAGTGTGGCAAGAAGAAACAGAGTGTGATATCTGTTCTACAAAAGTCATGGAGAAGGAGATGGGTGATTCTAAATATTCCATGCTCAGCTGATCAGGGCAGGTGTTAGAAAAGGAAGGTCCAAGTTTTCTAAGTGTAAAATGAAGGTTGGAAGAAGGTTGAGAAGTATGTTATTTTTGCATTGCCAAATATAGCCCTTGCCACTGAGGCATTTAAAAAATAAAAGGCAATGCATGAACTGATATACGGACATGGTGAGAGTAAGAACAGTTTGCAAGAATGGACCTGGTGTAATCTAGATGTAGCTATATTTCCTTTCCTTTTCTCTCATCTCCTGCTTTCAATTTCTTTTGCCCACTAGTTTTTCATTCTTTTCTTGTGCTTTGCAAAAGTTTGCTTACCCCAAAAAGAGAATTATGGGTTGTGTATGATTATTATACCATTTTTATGTCAGACAAAATCAGTTCCACCGATTAGTATTCAGCAGCATACGAAAGTGCCATAAAGACACTACACTCGACTGGTTAAAGAGAAGCGTAATGCTGGCAACGTTACAAAAGCTCATATGGGAAAAGTGCTCTTGTTCGGAAAATATGTGATTGTCATATTTTATAAATTGCATTACATGCATTTTAATTGAGAAGTATGCTTCTAAAGACATCCTTTTTTAAACAACCATGTCAGAAGAGTCTGGACAAATTCCATCCAAGCAACGGTTGTCAGCACTTTGCTTCCCAAATGTTTATGCCCCATCCTGATAATAACAATAAATGTGTTCTCTTTAAAATGTCATAAAAATCTGGCTACCTATAGGTGAGAGCAGTAAAAGAGGATTTACAAAATAGAATTGTAAAAACAGAGAAACAAAGGATAAAAGAGGTGTGTTAGGGACAGCATGGGTGTTCCCACTGAGCCTACCCATTGCTTGCTTCACCTCCACCTAACTGTGGCTCCCAGCTGAATGAGTATGGCCCTAAACTGGAAAAAGTTGCCCAGCTGGGCCATCAGATACAGTTTATGCAAGCCAAATAACGCTGAATCATCAGGTGGTTATTTTAAAAAAAAGGCAGCCACAGATTTTAACTGTGGTTAAACATTGGGGAAAATTTGAGCTGGAAGATAGCATGTTGTTATTGTCCCCTGAAGGTCTTAACAGTGATGCAGTATTCTGGAGATGGAAGAACTGAAGGTTCAAGTTTGTTTTCCCTTCTTCACTGGGGGAGGGGATCCTTTAATGTGCCACTTTGTGTTTGTAAGCCACCCAGAGTCATGTTATGTGAGATGGGTGACCATATAAATTTGCTAAATAAAAAATAAATTTCAAATTCATTCAACTAAAAAGAATCAAGGAATTGTAGTGCTGCTATTTGCTGACCCAAATTCTGATGGGAAGATCTGGAAGTTCTCCAAAGGATGGATGCAGCCCTATGGCCAGTAGTTGCCTAACCATGATTCATGAACCTAGTTGACGCATCACCTAGTTCCTTAAGCAATTTGTTTTAATTAAGAGCCAATTGATAAGGGAGAACAGATCATTTGGCGATTTCACTCTTGATTTGCATATGCTTGTATGAATTGTCTCCATCAAAAAATAATTGCGCATTATGAAGCAGTGTGAATATCATTTTTATGGTTGTTGATCAGTGATGCCATTACTGATTGGATGAATCCTCATCAGAGGAAAAAGGATAGAGTATGTAGAATGAGAACCAAAGAGCAATAGAGAATTGTCTCTTGGCTGAGGTCTCAGACATGACCAAGGAATCAGGGACAGAATCAGTTATCTCCATCTCTTCAGAATCCACAATGATGTTCATACTGCATCATAATGCACAATTATTTTTTGATGGAGACAATTCATACAAGTATATGCAAATCATCAAGATGACTGGCTCGAAGTCACCCAGCCTGGAATATTAAAGTCTTTCTTATTCTCAACTTTGTATGCCATTTTGTAATGTGGATAAAAAACATGCAGAACATCTTTAGTCTACTAGTCTATTACTAGCATTGCTGCCCAGTCAGATCTGCTTAATTTTCCACATATGGTTCTTTGGATTTTCTGGAATGCTGGAGCTGTATTTGACAGCCATATACATGAACTTCTTTATGTATCTGATAGTCCAGATAACACTGACTGGTGCTTTTCTAAAATAAGATGCTGTACAATTCAGTAGTTCTTATGTCTCATGCAGAGCAACGGACATCTCATTTTCACTTTAGAGTCTTTTAAACCTGTATGAATGATTTTTTAAAAAAAATACTTGGCCACAGTCCAGACAAAAGGAGGAATGCTAACATGCCAGTACAATGTAGGCTGCAACCCTACACATATTTATATAAGAATAAATCCTACTCAACATATGTCTGACTAAATCTTCCAAAAAGCATAATGTTAAACATTGGTTAGATGCTAAAATATGCATTTCTCTGAATAAGCCCCATTGCCCTTAATAGGATCATCCCTAAGCAGACCTGCACAGGATTGTGCGATGAAGCCCACTGATTTAAATGGAACTTGAACACTTTTTAAAAAAAGATCATATCCAACTTCTGGCAAATATTGAAACAGATGAATTTCTAGCAGCTTAAAAACTTGTTTCAGAAAAATGAGTAAATTAATCAATAGCTTGTGTATTCATTTAATGCTTGGTTGAAGTCAATATGAGTTTCTATTACAGTTGGTTACTCATTTTCAACAAAAGGCTGCATAACTAGACAAGTGAGAAACAATCTTCTTATACACACAGAGAGACAAAAATCCATCCAGGGAGGAATAAAACATAGAGGGTTAGGCTGGGTTTAGATACATCTTTTCTCATAGAGCTGCATCCCTCAACTCCATACCCACAATCTTTTTCTGGCCAGGACCCATGCTTCTTTTTTCATTTTGTAAGCCACTGAGGCTAGAGAAACCATGATGATAATGCACTGACATCAGTGACAAGATAGAGACAGATTTTTTTGATACTCTTTGGGAGGAGATGTTAGAGTAGAATAGGTACATTAAAACTCATAATCAGCCAGATCAGTAGTGTCCAGGCACTTACTGATTGTGTGAGAACCTGAGTGTGAAGACCATTAACCATATGGTCCCTGCTCAAAGGCACCCCACATGGTCAGGAAGCTTCTCATGCTTCCATAAATATGTAAAAGTTCACCATGTTGCCAAAGTTTGCAAACCAACTTTGGCTTTCAAATGAAACATATTAAGCAGTGAGTTGTGACACAATAGATGGCCATCTGCTGTGCCCTGCCTGGCCAAATTGTTTTAATCAGCCTGCCCCAAACTGGTGCACTTCAGATGGGTTGGGATAGTGATTCCCAGTGTTTCTAGCCAGCTGTGTTGTGATGGGGTGATGGGGGGGGGGGGGGGGGGGGGGGGGGGGAGAGGAGTGGGGGAGAGCAGACTCATAACAAATGTTATTTTTCTTTGTCCTGGACCAGGTGATTAATTTTTCCTCTGGTTGTATTTGGAGATATATGGATACGTACTTGTGTGTG